AATTAACTAGTCCCCCTCACACATCATCTCCCTCATCTCCCTCCTATAACTCTTCGATTGCTTCGCAATCTTCGAGTTAAAAAGGGATTGACAGTTATTCTACATCGTTTACTTTTTTGTTATAGTACCTACTAGTGCTTGCAGCGGGTCCTCAGGATACAAAGAAACCATTTACTCCACCAAGTCAGGTGTCACGTAAACTACAGAAGGAAGGCGTTAAGGTGTTCTCAGTAGGTGTTGGCAACAGAGCTCCCTCTAAGGAAGTCATCGATATTTCCTCTGGGGCAGACTATGCTTTGAAGCTGGACTATCCTCAGCTTCGGACTGCTGCAGCAAATCTTGCACCAGCAATTAAGGAAGGTATGTTTTCTTTTCCCATGATAATGCATAGTAAACCGCGGAAAGTAATTCGCCAGGCCATAAAAATCTGGTCGTTATAACGGAGCGGCCGTATTAAGCGAGTAGTTCCACTGAATATATAACCATGGCTCAGTTCTCATAATTGTATTGTATGTTTAATAGAACATGGCTTCTATCGCGATATTGTTTTCCTCGCTGACGCATCAGACGATGTAGACTGGCCTCAGGTGCAGAGTTTCTCAAAATCAATCGTCGATTCATTTRACATTTCACCAAAAGGGACACACATTGCATATGTCGTTTATAGCGACGATGCAAACAGAGTGGCAGCCTTCCCACAGGTCTTTGGGCCTGGCGTTGAATATAATGCCGAAACCGCTAAAGACATCATTGATGCCATTCCGCAGAAAGGGGGTCAGGAAAAGAATGCTTACAAAGCACTTCCACTTGTGTATGAAACGTTTACTCCACCATATGGTGGTAGACCGAAGGCCAGAAAGGTAACCATTCACGACTTTCAAAATTAAGTGTGAACAATCGCTCTGACTTATAATCCTCAATCACGAGAGATTGGTCGTATCGGAAAATGAACAAACATAATAATAATCAAAGAATGTCGTGTACCAGATTCCTAAGAATGTTAACATGCGAACCTAATAACATACCCCTCTAAAACAGTTAGCAGTGCACGAACATTCAAACATTACAAAAGAAATAGTCATAATTAACTCAGAACTGCTTACTTAGTTTCTAAGAACTTCTTCAATACAGTATGTCAGAATAACACCCCCCCCCCCCCCCCAACAAATAGTAATTGTAAAACTTAGATGAATTTGCAGTTTTATTCAACAGGAAAACTGCGAAATCGTATAGCATAATCAATGATCCACTCGCGATATAATGATATGTATATTAGCAACCAGACTTTTTGGTAATGGCTCTATTTTCAATACCTTTGTCAGGACTTGATATGGCTATCTGGAGGTGCTTGGAATGATAAAGACAATAAGATTATGGAAGAAATTCAACGGCTGAAAAAACTTGGAGTCAACATATATCCATTTGGCATTGGTAGACCTATCAATAGCCAACAACTAAGTTCCGTTGCAACCAAACATGATAATGTTTTTGTCCCATCCTCCTATGGTACATTGGAAAGAGAAAAAGACCCTCTTATTCAAGTCATGGCATTTGGCGGTAAGTTGTCATTGTTTAGAAACACCACACAATGCTAATAGACCCCTTGCATCTAACGCTCTATGTTGTGACCATTAAGGTCCGTTTACACTTGCGATTTTTGATGAGCTTCGAACATGCTTGAAAATTATCGCAGGGCTGTTTACATATACGATTTTAGTTGACGAACTTAGTGCGTCAATCAATTAAAACACAGCCCCATAATCTCTGTTCATGGCCAGGGAATTGACACATTACAATCGGGTATTTAACACTGTTTTAATAGCACAATCAAAAAAGGGATAAACTTCTAAATCAAATGAAATGATTTGGTTGGAGCTTGGTTTCCATTGACTGATGCATAACCACATTATTACTTCATCATCTTAGCCTCTCTTCAACAGCGTGTTTCTAAAGACTTTTCTTTTTTTMCTTGCACTTTTACTTAACCTTCTTTTGTAATCCTTTTATTTCTTGCAGTGAGGCCTGCAATAACTGCACCACGTAAGTACACAATTTGTTTGAGAAGAAGGCGACTGTTAAATTAGTAAATGTTATTATTTGCTTACTTAATTTACTGGTTACTTTTTACTATAGCCCCTGGAGCCATGGACATTGCTATCGTAATTGACTCCTCCAGTGATATCACCAATGACAACTGGAAGCGTATTCTTGGATTCGTAACAGCCTTTGTTCGCCGTTTCCCCAAAGTTTCTCCTGATGGAACTCGCTTTGGAGTCGTTAGCTACGCAGCAGATGCTAAGGTTCATTTTAACTTCAAGCCTGAAATGGATAAGAACGAAGTTGTGAAGCGAATATCAGAAACCCCACGCCAAACAGGCAACATTCGAAGAATGGCTCCCGCAATGGAGCTAGTTAAGTCAGACCTGTTCAGCAGTAAAGGCGGTGCACGTGTCGGGGCAAAACAGGTATGCTATTTGTGTTTAGCTGGTATATTATATGTGATGRCAAGATATAAGCTAAGGAGCTACTATATTTACCGGTACACAGAAGTCTACCATTACGCCTTAAACGGTGGGTTAAAAGATATTTTGACGATTTGTTTTTGCTCTTGTTCAGTGGAAACGTAATTGACTCACAAACTGTTGTCTTGTGTTTGGYATTATTCAGAAATGTCTTTCTCAATATCTGAAATGTTTACCAACCGTTTCAACTTTTGAAAAGCAAAACATGTACAGTGGAATCATCTCGTTAATACGGCAATATTGTAATATCTTTTCGATGACCAGATTACGAGGCTTYCACAATAAATGATTTTATAGCTCCAGTGTCATAGTTGTGGTATTCAGTTAAAAGTTTGCTAAACACTAGCGATCATTATTTCCCTGCTACAGATGCTCCTCATGATAATGACTGGCCAACAACCTGTCGGGGATAACAACCTTGCTACCGCTGCAAAAAGTCTCCGTAACGATGGTATCAAAATCAATGTAGTTGCCATTGGACCATCCGTTCAACCATCTGAGGTGTTCAACATTGTGGATTCTAAATCAGACTACATTTCCTACACCCCTAAGTACGATGGACTTGTGCCCGGTGTTTCTGAACCACTTGCTGTAGCAGCTCAGGAAGGTAATTAAAAGTCTAATAGTCGCGGGTTTATTTCAGACATTCCATTTAAAATAACGAAAGTCGATCACGGGAACTTGTTAAAAGCCATTTGCTCAAGGAAAACATCTGTATGACTAACTATATGAAGAAAATCAAAGGATATCTTAATAAGGTATTCAAGCAAGTGAATAAAGTATTGAACTTTTGTTCATCTTTTGCAGATCGTGGAAGATTTTATGATGTTGTTTTCTTGGCTGACTCCTCATCTTCAGCAAACTTGCCAAAAACCAAAGCATTTTCCAAGGGATTTGTAAAGTATTTTGATGTTGCAGAAGACGGCACTCAYATTGCTTATGTTACATTTGCCGACAATGCCATTCCTGGGTTTTCATTCMMAGGATACAATGTACCAGGCTCAGAATACAGCGAAGAAGACGTCTTTTCTCTCATTGATGCTTTACCTTCTGCAAAAGGTGACAACAGACACTTACACCTTGGCTTGAATGAGGCCATCAAGTCCTTCTCTGAAAAAMRRGGAGGACGACCAGATGCCAGAAAGGTAGTAAAGACGTAATACGTCCAAATGTGAATTTGTTTGAGGTTTAAGTACATTACATGTGTACTTGTGATCACATTTTTCTCCACTGTATTTTTGTCTACTTTTATCATATACTCTCTAGCTTCAGACAATTAACTCTGACATATTCAGAGTAGTAGAGGGCTTGGAATTTTCGGTGCAGATCAGTAGAAAATCCAGAAAAAAAAGAGAAAGTAAACAAATTCTCGATAAATTACTAACAATACATCAATTGTTCCTGTAGATTCTTGTTATCACTCTCAGTGGCCCTTGGCCAAGCCAATACCAAGATCAAATTAACCATGCATTCAAAACACTAAATGACATGGGTGTCCRAACCTATGTGTTTGGTGTCGGGCGCGAAGTTCAGGCACAGAAACTTTCAAATGTAGCAACCAAAGCGTTTAAACCAAACACATACGAAACCTTGGGAACCCAGTTAGTACCTCTTGCACGAGCTGTMAACTTCGGAGATAAAGGCAAGTTTAATGTTACACATATCACTTACAATTATTCAAAAACGTGGCTTCATAAATAAAACATATAAAATTGAACATCATAGCCATTCAGATTTACATCCATAAAACCCTTCAAGCATCCCTATTCATACCCCAAATTAAGAAATTACTAGACGAACTTCCTACTGTATTCAGGTTTCCTCAAATTAAGAAAACTCTTAGATCTCTTTCGATCCCTTCGAATCTTGCATCCATTTTGTTTTCACGAGAAAATGTTGTTTGACCATGTATTGGGAATACAAATACATGGATAAATTACAGCTTTGCTTGTTTATYGCAGAGACGAAGCCGGCCCCAACAACACCTGCAGGTAATAGCGTTTTTCTGTACTTCTCTKGGATCGTCTTTTGAARATATTGAGAAGAAAATGTGTCTGACCCCAGCCTTTATTTTCACAGCACGGCGGCCAAGAGATGTGGTGATTATTGCTGACTCTTCTAATGACGTGAGTTGGCCGGCAATGGTGTACTTCATCAAGCAAGTTGTTGGAGGTGTGGGCGCTTCGCCACAAGGAACACACTATTCAATAATAGCCTTTGCCAATGGAGCCATGGGAATAGTGACCTTCCCAGTTGACCCGCAATCAATATCTCAATACAACGTCCCATTGGTGCAACGATTTATTGACGCTGGTGCCTCTAGAAGACCAAGAGGAAGCAGGCATGACGTGGATGCGGCACTTCGTTTGGCACGGACTCTTTTGACTGACRAGCGAATGGGAGCACGACCGAATGCTCGAAAGGTGACTTTTGTGTCGTTTTTGAAGGGTATCTTTTTGGAAGATAGGTGGTTCTAATCAAGTTTGCTATCTGTTTCCTCAGGATGTGCTGGTAATCACCGGCGGAGCTTGGGGACCAACTCCAGCAGCTGCCGCATTGAGGAAGGTAGCTCCGGTATACGCCATTGGAGTAAGACCAAATGTGCAAGAAAAGCACCTGCAGCAAGTCACTGATAATCCTAAGCGGAACTTCCTTGTCGGGTCATACCCTCAGCTGAGAAATTACTGGACCAACTTCCAGAAGAACTTCGATCAAGGTGGGAGTAGGTTGCCCATGCGAATTTTTCTTGTGCTTGATTTCCCTCCCTTATATCCTTACGGCATCCAGGGTCCCTCGAATTGAGCAAGCTGGTGTATCTCTTTCTTAACCCTTCCAATTTTGCCTGCATTTTGTTTTGATGAGAAACTTGCTGCTTGATCATGTGTTGAGAAAACAAATACATGGATAAATTACAGCTTTGCTTGTTTATCGCAGAGACGAAGCCGGCCCCAACAACACCTGCAGGTAATAGCGTTTTTCTGTACTTCTCTKGGATCGTCTTTTGAARATATTGAGAAGAAAATGTGTCTGACCCCAGCCTTTATTTTCACAGCACGGCGGCCAAGAGATGTGGTGATCATTGCTGACTCTTCTAATGACGTGAGTTGGCCGGCAATGGTGTACTTCATCAAGCAAGTTGTTGGAGGTGTGGGCGCTTCGCCACAAGGAACACACTATTCAATAATAGCCTTTGCCAATGGAGCCATGGGAATAGTGACCTTCCCAGTTGACCCGCAATCAATATCTCAATACAACGTCCCATTGGTGCAACGATTTATTGACGCTGGTGCCTCTAGAAGACCAAGAGGAAGCAGGCATGACGTGGATGCGGCACTTCGTTTGGCACGGACTCTTTTGACTGACRAGCGAATGGGAGCACGACCGAATGCTCGAAAGGTGACTTTTGTGTCGTTTTTGAAGGGTATCTYTTTGGAAGATAGGTGGTACTAATCAAGTTTGCTATCTGTTTCCTCAGGATGTGCTGGTAATCACCGGCGGAGCTTGGGGACCAACTCCAGCAGCTGCCGCATTGAGGAAGGTAGCTCCGGTATACGCCATTGGAGTAAGACCAAATGTGCAAGAAAAGCACCTGCAGCAAGTCACTGATAATCCTAAGCGGAACTTCCTTGTCGGGTCATACCCTCAGCTGAGAAATTACTGGAAAAGTTTCCAAAATAGGTTTGGCAAAGGTATATTATTTCAAATTATAAYTATTTAATAAGATCTGTGTGTTATATGTTTGTTTAATTGAGAATAACTTAGAGAAGCCTCAAAGAAAATGAGTATATAATAGACTGCCATTTTATCTTTTGAAAAGGTAAAATAATAAGTAATGGTTTTGAGGTGGATATGCTAACTAATGTATTATTTAGATCCTAGGACCTTAGATATSGCTTTGGTGGTCGACTCTTCTAACGATATCCCTAAGGATAACTGGAAGAAGATTACATTTTTCCTTAAAGGAGTTGTGAGGGGAATCAACCGAGTGTCGGCTGAYCTAAATAGTAATCGTTTTGGCTTGATCAGCTATGCTTCAAAACCKACGTTAGTCTTCAGATTTAACACATTACAGGGAAGCAAGCTTAGCACCGAGGCAGTGTTGGGGCTTCTTGATAACATACCTCGAGGGTCTGCTCCTCGTAGAATTGATCTCGCTCTTCAGACGGCAAGAAGTGACTTGTTTAGCGCTAAAGGCGGACAACGAACTAAATCGTCTAAGGTATGCTGCTATGGGATTGTAAATATATTTCTATTTTAAAGTTCTATTTTGTAAACGTCCCAGATATGAATCCTGTATTCCCTAGCCTCAACCTTTAATTTTGTTAGAGAAATTCGTGAACGAATAGAGTTTCATTGCAATTCCATCGTCATTGCTTCATATTTTTTCTTGGAATTCGTATACGTGATATCAATAATTTGCGCAACGCAAGACAAACCATCAAGCAAAAATGAAATGGTCTCCTTTATGGTTTCCTGTGTATGTTTAAAGTAGCCTTTCCTTTGCATAGAGGTGAGATGATGAACATGCAGTGGACAATTGTCTCTAGGTGTTAAAGAACGAATCTATCATTGCAYGCTTAATGTTCCCCTGCGATGCAAAGGCCCGACTACTACTAGATGGCACAGAAGGTTGTGAAAGGATCTGTTGATTAGTAGACTGACTCTGAAGTGAATTTGACTTTTACTTCACGCCATTAATAATGTCATGTCAACATTGTTATTCTGATGGCACAGAATGCTGTGAAAGGA